CTCTCTCTCTCTCTCTCTCTCTCTCTCTCTCTCTCTCTCTCTCTCTCTCTCTCTCTCTCATAGAAGAAGAACAGCAGAGGGAGGAGGAGACGACGACGATGACGATGACGATGACGATGACGATGACGATGACGATGACGATGACGATGACGATGACGATGACGATGACGATGACGACGGCGACGGCGACGACGACGACGACAACGAAGAAGAAGGAGAAGAAGAAGAAGAAATGGAGATGGAGGAGATAACCAGGGGAGGAGGAGAAGAAGGAGAAGAACCCTCTCTGCCTCTCTCTCTCGGAGCCAGATACTGACCAACGTAAAGGTGTCGCCTTGGAGCTGTACTGCAGGTGGGAGTGCTTGGGGGATAGACTCCAGCGATAGCGACGAGGTAAGTTGACGGGTAATACCCACTCTCCTGGCCTACGCCCTGGTCTCCTATCTCCCTACCACTCTAGCCTACTCCTCTATCTCCAGTGCTGCTCCAGCAGCATAGTGCCTAAACCCTCAAATGCTGCGTGCCAGAAGTGAGGGCGGCCCAGTTATATATAGCGCTGGGCCTACTGGATGCAGCTGCGGTCTGCATCCTGGGACGTCCAATCGAGGTGTCGATCGACGGTCCAGGATGCAGGCCCAAATCCTGGTCCTGTGATCCTGGCCTCAACTGGCCTGCCTGGGACCCTACTGGAAGTCCAGGCCGTCTGCTGAACCAGCAGAGGTGTCCTCAGAAAAGGACAAAAACATGGGCTCGACCCAAACCGTGGTTCAGCCCAAATAAAAGTGCACCACGCCTGAAAACGGCGTCTGGGCCAAAATGACCCCTGTTCCAAAAGTCTACCGGTCTGGACCAAAAATGCTGAAACGATGCCTCCAGACCGGACAAACCTGAAAGAGACAAAATGGACTGAGAACAGACAAACGGATGACGACAACAACAAAAACAACTCGGAAAAAAATGCAGACGAACCCCAAAAAATAAAAGAACACCCTCAAACTCACTACCCACGCCCCCTACACCAGTGCTGGGCCCTGACGGGCCCATGTGGGAGCCGTGCATACCACAATTATGTGTATACTATGCATGGATAAGAAAGGGGGAATGCCACACCTGGAATTTGGGGAGATAAACTCAGATAATAGCATTCATCCTCTCAAGGTGTGGAGGAGGGGGAAGAAACCTGCATGTGTTATGATCCTCTATCATCCATAATGCAAAACTCGAATTTGAGAAAATGCAAGACACGGTGAACTGAAAAAGAAGTGGAAAGAGATAAGGAGCGGAATAGAAGGAAAAAGGATAGATGAAGAAGCAGAATTACGCAAGTTGGAACCAATGTCTTGCCCCTCTTCTTTCCCATCTCATCTTCTTCTCCGTTTCTCCTCCTCTTGAAATAATCAATTAATTACAGGAACAGACGACTGAATGAATCGCCTCAAGTACTCCCCCTTACTGCAGCAACTGAAGAGCTTCCGTTTCAGCCTCACTCTCACTCCTCTCCTCTCGGATTCTCAGTTTCATATCTAGATATGGCTACCACGGATGTTCAAAGGACAGCACAGATATTACTGTGCCTTTTCCATTTCATTCTGCCATAGACACACTCCTCCATGACGTCTAAGAGCAGATGCAGCGCCAACCAGGGGAGTGGGTATGGTCTACCATAGCCAAAGGTAACTTTGAACTTTCCGATGTCTGTTCTTTCCTCCTTCCTCTGCCTCTTCTCTCTTCCTCTACCCTTCTTTGAGGTACTTCACCGTCTACCTCCGTATCCTAGGCCTACACGCTACTACAACTACTACTCCCTAGACATGTAGGTGTTGTCCTCCACCCTCCAGATCTAGCACTCAGCTGGAGCTCTGCCTAACTTCCCCCTTTGGGTGGAGCAGCAGCGTGACTGACGGGTAGTGTGTGTGCCCCACTCATTGCTGCTGAATGATATACTCTTGCTTTGCCGGCCTCCAGCCTCTCTCGACCAGGTACTACTGCCTCGTCCGGTGCACTAGGCCTACTGGGGGTTCCTGCCTTTGAATGGTAACATCATTGCAGTCTGCAATTCAACTACTGCACCTGTATCTAACCTGAAAGGTGCTTAGACATGGGCCTGAACCCTCCGGACCTCCAAAACTCCAGAGTTCAGGATTTCCAGGCAACCGTCTGATAGTTATCAGCATCTGCCCAAATGGACCATGCTTAAAAGAGCCCATTCCATCTCCAACACCACATACCAGCAGTTACTCCCTACTTCCCAAAACGACGCCTCAGCACTCCTAAGCGAGGCTTCAGGCCTGCAGACCTAAGAAGACCGCCTGTAGTCCTGTGTCATTTTACCTGCAACAGTGGAGTTGGACTATACACATGAGATCACTGTGTTGCTGGAGGGGGCGGGGATAAGGTATCTGGGAATCATGATGGCACTGGACGGGACAGGACAGGGCCAGATTGATGATCTTATTGCTACGGTTATAGCACGGGTCAGGGGATGGTTGGGCCGGGCAGCGCCGGGCTGCTGGGCCGAGCGATTGTGGTTAATAACTCTCTGCCGGTGGTTATGTGGTATGTTGTTGCCATGCATGTCCCACTAATACACAGTGTAGGACCCATCACTTGCTTTCTCTGGTCGGGCGACCCCGCGGCCGAGGCCACAATAAGGCGGGTGGCTTGGGCCAAGCTTATAGTACAGCCCAAGCGGGCAGGGGGGGTGGCTATAGTCGATCCCCACTACCAGGCCAGGGCCCTGCAGATGCGCCTGCTCCTGTGAGTCTGTGACTGATGATGGAGGACGAGGGGGCGGATTGGAAGGATCTTGCTTGACAGCTTCTGGCAGAGGGAACGCGGCTGGATTCCAGGGCGGTCTTCCACGCCCTGCTGCACCAGGATTTGCTGAGAAACTTGAAGCAAGGGGCTCTGTGGACCACCTTCCTCGCAGCATGGAGGATGATTTGGTTCCAGCTCCTCACTCTGCTCATGATGGACCAAATTCTCTCCCAGAAGCTGTTCGGCTTATCCTGACAGAGGATGGCCGCCCATGGCCGTGGCAGGGCACACCGGGGGCATTCGGCAGCCAATGAATGAACAAGGGCGATTTTTTTGCTAGGTCACCTCTGGGATAGGCAGGCGGGGGACCTGGCGGGAGGAGGACGATATAGTTGCTAGGTTGCCCCACCAGGTCGCCAGGTCGCAGCGCCGCCATGCTATTCGAGAGGCTATACTGCCTGATTGGCTGCAGCACCTTCGGGATAATGAAAGGGTCAAAGGGGAATGGGGGGCACTTCGGGGGCTACCAGAACCGGCAACGCTTTTTCAGATTTTGTGGGGGAACCGGGAGGACAGGTATGAAGGCTAACCATGGGGGCTGAAGGGGGGCGCACAGAGCCTGGGGGAGCCACTGGCGCCAATAGCAGAAGGTCCACGCCACCTGTCCCATCATGCCATCTATTCTGTTGCGGTGCTCCAGGACAGGGACAGGTTGCGCCTGGTACCCCGCAGGCCGTACCGTATTGCTACCCCGGATCAGGACCTTGAGTTCGACCCCAGGAATTGGCGGCTTTCCCCGCAGGCCAACCTCACCCGCAACCACCTGCTGCATCAGGTCACAACCAAGACCCTGTATTTAGCGCAGCTCCCGTCCGACGATGTGGACTCGGAGATTAAGGCCAGGTGGGCCAAGCAAGGGCGGGTGTCTGGACCGGAC